TGTAATAACAGACCACTAAGCTGACTAAAAACAAGGTGTCTAAATCAAAACCCAGGTGGCTTTCGAATGCTCCATACACCTACTCCGTATAAGACATGTGGTGTAGGAAAGAAACACCCAGAGCCCCACCCACCTCTTTATATACTTCCACATTAAAGGGGCACTGAAGCAAAAAGTGGTCTATAGTTTCTACTTCACCCTGACACTCCGACCTCGGACAACCACGGTCATCCGGAGGACGGTACTTCAAGTTACCCCTCACGTAAAGCCTGCCATAGAAAGCGATCCAGGCCTGGTCCCTAAACTTCAAGGGAATCCGTTCTAGATTTATCAAATGTAAACCCTCCCTCATGATATGGTCTGGGCAATCTTTCAAGGCCAACGACGCATGGAAAGCGGTCGCCACAATCCTCTCACCCAAGAGCCTCCTAGGGAGGGATCTGACCTCCTCTGCATCACATGCCACCGCCGGAGTAACTTCAGGCACGGGGCCACATAAGCCGGGAGCTTACCGTGCTTGAACCGCAGGGTCTCCCAACTGCTCAGAAAGGGTCTAAACCAAGTCCGAAACAGCCCTACCCATGCAGGCGGTCTCTCTGCCAGCTTGTTACCAAAATTATGTTTCAAGAACATCAGAAAGAAGAAAACTATCGAGTTGACCATACCTAGTTGCCCCCGTGAAAACGTAGAGCAGAGGGCTCAGCGGGCACCCCTGGTGCACCCCCGATCCAAACCCAAAGGGCCGCCCAACCCAACCCAACCATTCACCATTCACCAACATGAAGCTTTCAGCCTCCCTGTATAACGTCTTCAGCCAGCCAATGAACCTCCCCTCCAAACCGTACCAGTCCAGGAGATGCCAGAGGTACTCGTGATTGACTCGGTCAAAGGCCTTTGCCTGGTCCACATCCAGCAGAAACTTTCCCCATCCCTCAGCCTTACACCGTTCCAGAGACTTCTGGACAGCTAACACCGCTGTGAAGGTACTCCTCTGCCACTGACGACAAGCACCAGAACAAGATCTTAGCCAGAATCTTTCTATCGACATTGAGAAGGCTAATGGGGCGCCAGTTCTCAATAGCCGAAGGATCCTTACCCTTTGACAGGAGAATCACTGCAGACTGCCTCATGGAGGGAGGGAGGGACCTCTCACCCCAGACAGCAGTTGTAAACCTCCGCAAGGCGAGGCGCCAAGCTGGACTTAAAGGTCTTAAAAAACTCAGCTGTCAAACCATCTGGCCCAGGAGTCTTTTTAATGGCCAGACTATCAATGGCTTTGATCACCTCTTCTGCAGTAATTTCCCCAGTCAAACCTGCAAGCGAGACATTACCTTCCAGACCCGGTGTAGACTCCAAAAAGCTCAACATCCTTGTCCGTTCAAGGTGCTTCTCACTCAGCAAGTCCACATAAAAGTACCTAGAGACTTCCAGAATCCCTGACCTGGATCTCGTCAGAGACCCCATACCATCCCTCAGGGCAGAGACCGTCTTAATCGCTGCACCCTGTTTGCAGTTCTGAAAAGGGTCGGGCGAGTGGTACTTCCCATAATCCCTCTCCAGAACCAAAGAGGCATGCCGATCATACTAGTACTCCCTGAGGAGAAACTTGACCTCCGAGATTGCCCCAGAATCTCCACCGCTAGAAACAAGGTGGTTGAGCTTCCTCCGCAACCGTTGGTAGGCGATGTACTTATTAAATTGCTTTCTTTTTCCTATGGCCTTGAAAAACCTGCCAATCCGCACCTTAGTAAGCTCCCACCACTCCGACTTACTGTTGCAGAAATTCAGCACGGTCTCCTGGGCCTGAAAGAACTCCTCAAAAGATCGTCTCACCTCCTTGTCTTCCAGCAGAGCAGAATTCAACCTCCAGATGCCCTTCCCTCTTAGGGATGTGTCTGAAACATTCAAATTCACAGTAAGCATAAGGTGATCAGAAAACTCCACCGCCCGACACTCAGGTGCCGAGAAGGCAGAGTCCTCCTTCAAAAAAAAACCTGTCTATCCTACTCTGACTATTACCTCTCTTAAATGTGAAACCTGTGCTGTCTGGACCAAGGCGTCCACCAGACCTGCTTCCCTGACTATAGCATTCAGAAAAACGCTATCATATCCCAGCCTGTCATTGGAGCCCCTCCTGTCCTTGGGCCTAGTTATGGTGTTAAAATCACCTCCAAACACCACCAGCCGAGACGTAAAAAGGAAAGGCTTGATCTTTGTGAAGAGGAATTTCCTGTCCCACTTGGACTGTGGTCCATAAATGTTAATAAGGCGCAGTTCCTGCCCCTTCACAAGGACATCTAGGATCAGATATCGTCCAAACTCCACCTCAATGATCCGCCGGCACATTACCATACCAGTAAAAAGCACCGCAAGTCCGCTGTAAGGCTCAGCCGCAAGAGACCAGTAAGAAGGCCCACGCCTCCACTCCCGCTTGGCCAGATGTATGTCAGCCAATCTGGGCAACCTGGTCTTTTGCAAAAACAAAACATCAGCATCAATACCACTGAGCAAAAATATGGCTGACTCTCTAGCACTTATAGATTTTAGGCTGGCAACATTAATAGTTGCTACATTTATCAGAGCGGGAACTGCCATTAAGACAATTGAGAGTGGCGTTTCTTAACCCTTTTCTTGGCCTTTTTAGAAGGGTCCCCTGACCTCTTGAGAGACCCTCCTCATCCTCCATCGGGGAGACAGGATCCTCAGACACCTCCTCCTCCCCCGACAGAGCCCCAAACATGTTGTCGAGGGCCAAGTCTCCCACCTCTAAAGAGCAGACAGACCCTGCAGGTGAGAGGACCGGCTTGTTGCGCCGACCACCCCTCCTCCACCTGAACCCCACCCTGCTCACCCTGAACAGGGCCCTGGGACTCATGAGATTCCCTACTAAGTTTTTTCCCGCCTCAACCAGAGAAGGACAGGGGGAGCAGGCACTGACGGCCTAGATTTCCCAACCACCACCCCTGCCCCTCTGGCAGCCTCTGCGTTTTTTCCCCTTACTGGGAGGGGGGATAGACTCAACAGGAAGCAACACTAGCTGGGTTGGGCACAACTGGGGAGACTGAAACAGGAGGGATGACAGAGGCAGCTCCTATCTCCACCAAGTCTGCTGCAGAGACCGACTTGGCCCTTTCCGCTGCCACCTCCGCCTCCACCATCCATCCTGTCTAGTTCTGCAGCAATTTCCGCCACTGGGAGGTTGTGGAGTGCTTCTGGGCACTGATTGTACGTATGGCCCAAGACCCCGCAGAGGTTACACCTCACAATGTTGCAATCTCTTGCCAGATGACCAATTTCCTGGCAAAGAGAGCACCGTATAACCAGGAACGTGGCAGCAAAGTGCCCCTTTGCACCACAGCGGTGGCATACCCGGGGCTGACCGGCATAGAACATAACAATTCTATCCCTCCCCAAGAAAGCAGATGAGGGTATGTGCTGAAGTACATTGCCCTCAATTCTTAGATGGACGGTGGTTGTCCATCCACCCGTCCAGATCCCTCTCTCGTCTATCACCTTGCTGAGGGCCCCCATAGCATCCGCATACCTCCCCAGCCACACTACAATATCCGACGGGGGATGGACTCATTTCTCACAAGTATGGTGACCTTTTTAATCATGTTCTGTCTCGATGTTAATTTTGGGGACAACCCCACCCACCTGGGACTACGGACATAAATTGCCTCATAGCGTTGCCAAAAGAGATCGAGCTGCTCTGGCCTCATGAATGAGACATCGTACTCCCCTGTAACCACAGGGGCAATAAAAGCAAAAAATATCTGCAGCCCTGAACCCCATCTCCAGGACGCGGTCTATTACCTCTTTTCTGCTTAAAGGGGGACCCTCCCCTGACCATTTCAGTTGCACAACATTTCTCCTGGTCGCGAAGGTTGGCAGGTTACCTGCCCACGCCATAAGTGGCCTAACTGATCCTTGCCCACCTCTCACCGCCGCTGAGTAGCTGATGACAGGCTTGGGCACAGAGGCATCTGCCTCAGGGGGAACTGGACCAGGGGGGGATGAGACTTAATCACTGGGACCCGGGGGAACAGGGCCAGATAGAGCAGGGCCACCAGAGAGGGGGACTAGGGGTGCAGGACCTAAAGGACCCTGAGCCCAAACACCCGGACCATCCCCACCGGAGCCCACGAAAGCAGAAGCTTAGTGACCTGAACCCGGGGGCCTGAACCCACCGAAGGGGGATTTTGCAGGGCCTGACATATGGGCAGCTGGATTTGTGGGGACAGAACCTCAGCAGGAGCACCAGGAGCAATAGATTCCCCAGCAAGAGTAGCCCCCACCTTCGGAGGGGCGGGGCTTAATGGGACAGAGAGACCTACACAAACCGCCCCTTGCCCCACAGGAGGAGCCTGTACCACCGGCTCGGTCTCACCACCAGAGATGTCCTTTGACTCCTTGCTACCCGCTTTTACAGAGTCCTGCAGCACTTCCCCGATCACCGATATACTGTCCTTCACCAGAACGGAGCTCCCCAAGGAGCTTGGGATCCTCTTTAGCTGCAAGAACATAGCGCACTCCCGCACCGGCTTGGCCGGCTTCTGTGATGTATCCTCTTCCTCACTTCCGGAATCCTCCGAGGTGAAGCGGAAACGGTCACCTCTCAACTCCAGCTCCTCTTCTTGGGCAAAGCGCAACTCCCCAGCTGACTCCGCCTCCTCCACACACGATCCCCAATCCGCGCTCCGCTGCCCGAGGGGGAGGGAGTCTGAACCACTGTTAAGGTTCTACCTTTTCCCAGAGGTTATGTTTACTCCATGTGCTGGCATCCATCTTGGATTTCTGCTGAGCATGGTTGGAATCCTTTATGCCTTCAGGTCTCTGAGGTCCATCCCCCAGAGTAGTGTGGCTGATGACATATAAGCCTGTGGTCCGCACATGCTCTTTGCACTTGTGTCTTGGTGTTGCTATAACTCTGTTCTGACTCTCGTGACTCTCCTGGAATCTGACTCGGCTTGTGACTCGACTATTCTTTGTGTTCTCCTTTGATCTGACCCTCTGTTGCTGAACCCGGCTCGTGACCTGTGATTCTCGTCTGCTGTCCTGTACCGTTTTGTCCCGTTGTTGTCGAGCCGGCCTGCCTGACTACTCTATTGTCTTTTCCACCAGCTAAACGCCATTGGCGGCGGCCATTACCGCAACTGAGGTGTCTCGGGGGCCGCGACCTGGTTCCTGGCTGCGTCAAGTCCATCCCCACCATCAGGGGCCCTGGTGAAGGGCAGCCTGGGACTTAGACTCTGCGCCCTGAGGGACTTCGGTCTGTGGGTGGTGGTTGTCATCAGCCAGTGCGTTACATTGTTATTAGGCCTGCCTGTCCGTTCCTCAGCTCCTGCCCTGACAACCACCCACAGCCTCGGCGTCCTCCATTTCTGGTGGCACCATTTCCAAACTTGGTGCAGCAAGCTCAGCCAGCTCCTGCGCCAGCACACCTCCAGTCACCGGCTCACCCCCGGTCACCAGTTCACCTTCCATCACTGGCTCACCTCCCGTCACCGGCTCATCAGATGACTCCTCCATAGAGGAGACCATATCCACGGGACCTCTTGCTGCCGCAACGCTCCTGTTTCTTTGAAGCGGTTATCATTAGCGAACTTCTCCTTCAGAGCTCCACTCTTCTTTTTAAGTGCCACCACATACTTTGCTTGCAGAGAGACCCTCTGCTCTAAGGCCTCCAGGCCAGGCTTCATCGCCTGTCTCTTGGTGCTCCACACACGGTCATAACTGGAGCGTAGCTTTTTAAGCTCCAAATTTAATTTGACCAATTTGGTCTCCTCCTTCTCCACCGTCTTAATCAGGGTGACCACACGGTCCCTGTATTCCGCACAACCTTCCCCCTTCTTGGGGGCTGTTCCCAGGTCCTCTATAGGTGGTATGCAGGGACCGGTACTAAGCCCCTCAGGGGGGCCCTCCTCCGGCAGGGCCAGGTCCAGGTCCAGGAGCAGACATCCTCCCTGGGCTAGCTGGGACAATCAAGCCCCTGGCTTTTCAGGCCTTCCTGGAAATCAGCAGAGCTCTCCAATATGCGACCACACCCATCTGGAATGGAGATATTTTATTTATGTATTAATGTCATACATACCAGCCATCACATTTTTTTATAAAAATACAAAAGAATAAATAAGTATAAACATAACCCATAAACGTAACCAAAAGACCAAAGTCCCTGAGGAAAAAAAAACATATCATAAAGGGAAACAAGGTATGCCGTCTATGCGGCTCAAACCATAAAGTCCCATTCCTGGAAAGAAAGACACAAAGGAAAGAACAATAATAACTCATAGGCCTTTATGGCCGAGAACAAGGAGCAACAAACCTGCTGTCCCCATCATGCACGTAATAGACCATCGCCCGATAGGACACTAAACTTATAAAGGGGTCTATATGACCCAAAGGGCAATAGTAAATGCATACAATTTCCATTTTCCTGCTGCAAAAGGCCTCACAGCCCATACCTAACATAAATTGTGTATCAAATTATCAAAAGAAAAAAAAACTGAAACAACACAATACATACCTGTAGCAAACTTGCTCATCAGAGATGGACGCGGAGTTCCACTTTTTTATTAGAAGTATTCCTCAATCCTTTATTTCCTACCCCCTCCTGAAAGGCACAGGGACAGATGTGTGTGTGTTAAAAGTTGCTGGCAGGCTGGAGCAGCAGGGCCCAGCGCTACAAAGCCCCCCCAAAGAGACAGCAGACTCTCTGTCCCAGGGCCTGTGTAAACTCACACCTCCTAACCAAGATAAGGTAGTTTTTTCCCAGGACTTGAAAGAAGTTGGAACCTCATAAACCCTACCAGCCAGGTGACAGAAGTTAAATGAGCATTCCTCAGGTCAGCTGTCACCTATGTTTCATATCATGGATTATGAAGCTGTCAGTTTTAATGCAGAGTCCATCCGACGATCCCACCCAAAACAGGGTATTGGCCAGTACTCAGAGCCACCCCCCCTGCAGGGGACTTTAAAAGGCAGGCTGGCAAGCCTAAAACGTTAAGCTAAACACATCTCCCAATTTTTAACATCATAACAACGTATTGGACAGGCGACTTTTCAACCATTACAGTGTATATTGGATAAAGAGAGTTTCCCCTTTCTCTGTACAGAAAGGGGTGGTGGCAGTGAAGGGTTAGTTGCGTAATTAACCCAACCCAGTAACAAGCGCATTCAGGCTGCCGGTGCGTCGATTGCGTTCCATTAGCTGGACAATCGTTGTGCAGGGCGCAGCTGAGTGTGGCATTGTGACCAAAGGACCGGCCAATCTAGCGGTTTTAGATTGGCCGGTCCTTTGGTCACAAGTTTGGTGAGAAGGTCTGGGGTCTGACGCCACGGGCGTGACGTATTGTTGGTCGCGGTCGTTGAGGGTGGCGATCGTGCGATCTGTGACAATACCCACTGAAAAAGACTAAGAAACATAGACTGGAGCATCTGCAGCCTTCCATCAAAAAGGGATCCTCATCTCACAAAATCTAGGGGGGTGAAAAAAGGTAGGAAATAGGGATAGACCCCATCATCAGAGATCAACAGGTGGCAGCCACATGCTCGATGTTCCTCCACGCCTCCATCTAAGCCCTCCGCCGCCACCTGCCTTTCTCAAGGCCCCGAATCTTCACAATCTCACCAAGGATGTCACGCAGCACCACCTGGACAGGGAGGACCTTCTGCCGAATAGACCTGACACCGTGCATTCCACGTGTAATAACGGATCACTACACTAACTAAGAACAAGGTGTCCAAATCAAAATCCCTGCAGCTGTCGAATGCCCCATTCACCCACTCTGCACAAGACATGCAACGGAGGAAAGGGACACCCAGAGCCCCACCCACCTCTTTATACACTTCTACGTTGAAGGGGCACTGAAGCAGGAAGTGGTCCATACTTTCCACTTCACCCTGACATTCCGACCTCGGACAACCACGGTCATCCAGAGGACGGTACTTCAAGTTACCCCTTACGTAAAGGCTGCCATGGAAGGCGAGCCAGGCCTGGTCCCTAAACTTCAAGGGAATCCGTTCTGAATTTAAACAAATGTAAACCCTCCCTCATAGCATGGCATGGAAAGCGGTCGCCACAGTCCTCTCACCCATGAGCCTCCTAGGGAGGGATCTGACCTCCTCCGCCGTCACATGCCACCGCCGGAGTAACTTCAGGCACGGGGCTACATAAGCCGGGAGCTTACCATGCTTGACCGCAGGCTTCTCACTGACCCGCCACTCTCCCAACGGTTCAGAAAGGGTCTAAACCAGACCTGAAAAAGTCTTACCCATACAGGTGGTCTCTCTGCCAGCATATTACCAAAGTTATGTTTTAAAAACATCAGAGAGAAAAAGACTACTGGGTTGACCATACCTAGGCCACCCTCCGACCTGGATGAGTAAGTCACATCCCGCCTGACAAGGTTCAGCCTGTTCCCCATAACATCTGGAAGAAACAGCTGTAAATCCTCATATAGAGAGATTCTGGCAAGAGGCAGACAAAACTGACATAAAAATACTGGGATCAGAAAGGTCTTAATCAGGTCAACCCTTTCCCTCAAGGAGAGCCGCCACCCCTTCCAGCATCTCACTTTGACCTCGGCATCAGACAGTTTGGTCTCCCAATTTGACTTGCTTTAATCAGCAGGTACCAAAATTGATACCTAAAATTTTCACATTCTGCTGAGGCACTGGGAAGGTGTCCGGAAGTGAGAACCTCTCACCCTCCCTACCCATCCAGAGAAATTCACATTTGTCCTGGTTGACCTTGGAACCTGACGCCTCGGCATACTGATCCATCAATGAGACCACCTCCTGCGCCTCCTCCGGTCCAGAGATGAAAACAGAAATGTCATCAGCATAAGCCACGACCCTCAAAGGCGGATCCCCAGTAGCACCCATTGGCACCCCGCTCACCGCCCCACCATCTAACCTCCTAACAAAAGGGTCGATGGCAAAGACGTAGAGCAAAGGGCTCAGCAGGCACCCCTGGTGCACCCCGGATCCAACCCCAAAGGACCGCCCAACCCAGCCATTCACCAACATGAAGCGCTCAGCCTCTCTGTATAACATCTTCAGCCAGCCAATGAACCCCCCCCCCCCCTCCAAACCGTACCAGTCCAGGAGTTGCCAGAGGTACTTATGGTCAACCTGGTCATAAGCCTTCGCCTGGTCCACAGCCAGCAAGAAGTTTCCCCATCCTTCAGCCTTACACCGTTCCAGAGCCTCTCGGACAGCTAAAACCGCTGTGAAGGCACTCCTTCCCTGGACCGAGCAATGCTGCTGACGAGAAAGCAAACTGCCTGCCACTGACGACAAGCACCAGAACACGATCTTAGCCAGAACCTTTCTATCAACATTGAGAAGGCTAATGGGGTGCCAGTTCTAAATAGCCAAGGGATCCTTACCCTTTGACAGAAGAATCACTGCAGACTGTCTCATGGAGGGAGGGAGAGATCCCTCACTCAGACAGCAGTTGTAAACCGCCGCAAGACGAGGCACCAAGCTGGACTTAAATGTCTTAAAGAACTCTGCTGTCAAACCATCTGGCCCAGGAGTCTTTTTAATGGCCAGACTGTCAATGGCTTTGGCCACCTCTTCCACAGTAATATCTTCCGTCAAACTTGTAGGCGTGACATTACCTTCCAGACCTGGTGTAGATTCCAAAAAACTCGACATCCTTGTCCGGTCGAGGTGCTTCTCACTTAGTAAGTCCACATAAAAGGACCTAGAGACTTCTAGAATCCCTGACCTGGATTTAACCAAGGACCCTGTACCATCTCTTGTTTGCAATTCTGAAAAGGGTTAGGTGAGTGGTACTTCCCGTAGTCCCTTTCCAGAACCAAAGAGGCACGCCGGTCATACTGATACTTCCTAAATAGAAGCTTGACCTCCGAGATTGCCCCAGAATCCCCTCCGCTAGAAACAAGGCGGTTGAGCTTCCTCCATAACCATTGGTAGGCAGCATACCTATTAAATTGCTTCTTCTTACCTATGGCCTTGCAAAACCTGCCGATCTGCACCTTAGTAAGCTCCCACCACTCCGACTTACTGTTGCAGAAATCCAGCATGGTCTCCTGGGCCTGAAAGAACTCCTCAAAGGATTGTCTCACCTCCT